CGTCGTCGCCCCTGCACTGCGCCGCCTCGACGCCGACGTGAGTGTTTTTTTATTTTTGTTAGATTTTTTTTAGATTCTTTTTGTAGTTCATAGATTTTTTTTGTTAGGTTACATGTGTAGTAATTTAGATATGTAGTTCATAGATTTTTTTTAGATTAGATTTTTTTTGTTAGATTACATGTGTAGTAAAATTAATTTGTTCATATTATGTTAGATTTTTTTGTCAGATTAATTAGATTTTTTTTGTTAGACTAGATATGTGTAGTAATTAATTTATTCATATTATGTTAGATTTTTTTTTTCTGTTAATAGATTTTTTTGGTGATATTATTATTGAATATGCATGTTTGGTGATATTATTGTTAATAGATTTTTTTTGGTGATATTTAGATTGTGTAATTAATTTTGTTCATAGAATTTTAATTATTTTACTATATATAGAAGTAGTTTGTTTTTAGTAAGTACTACTAATTTATTTATAGTAAGTGCTTAGTAGTTGAACTACATAGTTGATTTTATTAATAAAACTACTTTTATTTAACTATATATAGAAGTAGTTCCCGCATCGACGTCGGCGATGCCTATCACGCATCCTCGTCGTCGTCGACTCGGCGGTGGAGGCCTGCTTGATCAGGGCCATGTTCGGGACTGGGCTCCGCCGGGTTGGTATTGGGAAGTGCTATCTTCCGGGGGACGTAGGTTGGTGAGGAGGCAGCCCGTTGTTGACCCGATCCTTGTTTGGTGGCGGTCGCATGGGCCAGTGACGGTGGTGAGGCATCCGGACACCGCGGAGGTGGTACGTCACTGTGTCAGCGAGGAGGACGAGCACGTTCGTCGCTACATGATTGCATTGGAGGGGAGGTTCGACAATACCTGGCAGGTTCTTCAGGGATCTCACTGGAGCTATGATCCTGTGATGGTTCCTTATCTTTGGGTGTCCACCGCCCGCGTCGATACCCGTCGGGAGCTACGGTTCTAGTTGTATTAGTGATAATATTCGACGATGTACGGACAACAAGAGATGATGTACTTTTGCTTATAATTATTGAATGCATGCTAATTTGAATACTATACTTTATTTTATGATTTGGTTTTGCTTATTTTATGATTTGGTTTTGCTTATTGAATGCTCATATTGGATAATTTCTCCTTCATTCCCGTGTGCTAGACAATTTGATATAATTAATAATGCATTCGGGAATGAAAAGGAGGAGCTACGTACCTCGATCATCGATACTCAATCCGTGATTAATAATAAGGATCTAGTTTAATATTTGAATTATGAACGTATAGGCCGGAAATGTCGTACTCATCGGACGACGAAAACTGCCCGGGGGAGTGCGACTGGTGCCACGACGACCGAGGTATCTGCGACAGGTTCATTGTGCTGGACGAAGATCGGCGCTTCAGCATTAAGCTCGAGGAGACCTTCGATGTTCATACGGTACGCAACCGACGATAATAGTTTTTATCGTAATTACTCATGACTTCAACTATTTTAATCATGATAATATTTTTCATCTTTTCCAATTCGACTAGCTTATCCCATGCTTTGCAAGACGCTATGTCTTGGAGAGGATGGGTTTTGAAGACCATGAAAGTTTTAAAACCAAAAAAATTATCCTAAGTACCCATCATGGTGTGGATTTTCAAGTAAATTTATACAATGCTCATAGTGTAACCCATTTTGGTTGCAAAAATTGGGAAGCACTTTGCAAGATGTATGGTTTTGATGAGGGTATGCTTGTTACCATGGATCTTGGTGATCCTACAATCGAGCAAGAGAGACCTACGATTTTCGTCCTTGTGGATACACCTCTAATTCTTCCCCCATGTGAGCTTAACATAGTTATTAAGTAATTTATATTGTTTATTTGAAAATAGTTGACAACTTATTCTCCATTGACAGCTTATTTTCATTCTTCAAAGAATGTGCGGAAGATGGTAGACAGAACCTACTACACCGAAGGCTCCGAACTAAAAATCATCTGGTCGGATTTTGTACTGATCTTGAGAATTACAATGTCTACAATCGAACTCCTCCACATTATGGTCAATACGTGCCACTAGTGCACGTGTTGAACTACGGTAACTACCATGGAGATACCCTGGTATGATTTTTTAGTATTACAACATTCGTGCATCTTTTTGCACACTTCTAAAACTAGTACATCATATCATTGCTAACTACGAAGTTATTACTATGTTTTTCAACAGATAATCCCAAATGATTGTGTGCCTCATCTCATGTATACACGGGGTAGCCTTCATGTTTTGAACATACACCCAGGTCGTCCTACGAATCTCAACTGTCCATACCGGGTTTCTAAAAGAAGTGGAGACATGATAATCAAAGAATGGAAAAAATGTATGGACAGTCGTAAGGAGCTTCTTGGAAGCAACATTCAGCGAAGGGCAAACATTGGAGACAGGATGATCGCCATTCTTCATAATGGAGAGTCAGGGTCTATATTGTTTTATGCTATTTTACCTTAAGGGTGTTTAGGTCCTACCTGATACTGATGATCATGTGCTAAGAACAATTATGTAGGGTTGGGTTCGATGACTATGAGGATGATGATCGTATGACTTATTATTAATAACGAGTAGAAGTTGTATATGATGATGCATGATTAGTAGGACTTGTTATTATATATATATATATATATGATGATGTATGATGCAAGCATGCATGAGCATTTTATATCTGCGGGGGTGCAATGAACATAGCAGCAGCGTTGATAAACCAAAGACGAAGATATAAGAGAGGACACTACTCTCTATTAGCTAGCTATAATAACAACCTAAAAATAACCCCTAAAGCAGCCACTTTTAAAAAAATTGACTTTTGGTCCCGGTTGGAGCCACCAACCGGGACCAAAGGCCCCCTGACTGGGGTGGGCGCACAGGGCCACGTGGAGGCACATTGGTCCCGGTTCTGGTTTGAACCGGGACTAATGGGTGGAGGTATTAGTAACGACCCATTAGTCCCGGTTCATGAACCTGGACTAAAGGCCCTTACGAACCGGGACTAATGGATGGTTTTCTACTAGTGGAGACTCTTGAGGGCATGGAAGCAGTCTTGTATGATGGTGGCACTCTCTGCTCTGAGTTATAATATCTAGTCGTGACTTAGACTTTTTGGATGTCTTGCAATTATGTATTGCTTCACAAATAATATACTTGCAATATATCATGTTACCGTGTTGCATTATGTTCATTCTGACCATATTAGTGCTTCAAGCTTCCATATTATTTACTTGTTGGTTTATTAAGATCCCATCATGAGAGAACATAGTTCCTAAACTTATGTTACTCATTTTGATCACTCTCATGCGATATTTATATTTTGATGATGGACGAATTTTTTGTGCATAAACAATGCTAATTTGTTAGTAAAATTTCTCTTTGTCGCTTCACTTTCTCAACCGAATTTCTTGGCGATAAGCAATAAGGTAAGCTTAGGGGGTGATGATATGTGTCAGATGTATCAACTTTTTCTGATCACTTTTGCTATAGTTGTGTCCTCTGGTTTACATGATTTGAATAAAACTAACTATTTTGATGTTATTTTCAGCAAAGTTTTCAAAGCTGTTGTTTTCTATGCACAAAAGGCCCCCCGAGAATCCCGGAAAATCATTTTTGGAAGTTGCACTGGAAAAGAGACACGGAGCCTTGAAGACGTGCTAGGAGGTGGCATGCCCTAGCTCCTCGCGCATGCCGCGTCATGGGGGTGCATGAGGGTATGATAAAATATGTTGTGCAAGTTCTTATCGCGAGTGCATACAACTATACATGAAATACATGTTTATATAAAATGTTGAATGAGCGATATATTATCATCATCCTATGTTACTGCTACTATATATTTAATTCTACCCACTAGGCCCCAGGCAGCCCGGGTGGTGGCCTAGGGCTTGAGGCCCAATCCTTTTGTTTTTTTTTGAAGTTGGCCCAATCCTTTTGTTAACTGTGGCTCCAGTGCTCAAAGGCTGCATGGGACCTAGCCCAATCCTGGCGACACTACTACATGCAACGTGCCATTATCCATCCTTATACATACATATGATAAATGTTTCTCTCTTTCAAATACTTTGTTCTTGGGAACTTTTGGGTATTGCTACTTTTGTTACTCTACTGTAATCAAACAACCAACATTTCATCACATTTACTACTAATAAACTCTCTCAAGCAAGCACTTTGTTTCCAGACGTGGTTGAATTGACAATGCAACCACTAAAGCTTATAAGTGTTTTTTTGGCTCACGTTGTGTCAAATAAATAAATTTGGTTTGTGATACATCACATCGAAGGTTACTGTTATCCTCTACACCTATTGGTTATCACAACGCCGCCATCTTGGGCGAGGACGTGCCACCAGTGGTTGGGTGTGCGCCATCGGCGAGGGGGCCACGATGGTGGACATAAGATGTGACGCCAGCGGAGCACACGGGAGTAGCTCGTGTAGGCTATGGAGACCAGATAGGGTTGGAGTGGCGGCTGACGAGGAGGTGGTCGCCGCCGCCGGAGTGGCAGCTGGTGTGCGAGGGAATGGATGATATTGCGATGGAGTAACTAAAGAAAGTAAGAATTATTGGGCAAACTAAGAATAATGCACTATATTCGGTAAGTCAAGTATAAGCACTCACATGTAATAACAGTCTCCCTAACAAAATCAAAGTGCCTACACATGTATATAAGCTCATGCTGATGAATCGACTACTAATTAATCACTGTGCATATGTTTTCCCACGGTTGGATCGATTGCACGGTCAACATGACGGCGATCTTCCATTTAGTCCTGCGTTATTCGTCCTGTCAGGTTGTTTTGTCACCTCAACCCCGAACAGTAGAATTGTCCATGCAGCGACAGTAACGCAACTAAATTTAGTCTACTATTTTCTGATGGCACTGCATGCATCCGTCGGCGGTGGGTGGTTAGCTAACGGCGGTCTCCTGAGGAGCACGAGGAGCCGACCGTTGGATGGAGCAGCAGCTTAATCATTCGGCGTGCCGAGACCGGCCGGCGGCGTCGCCACGGCGGTCGGCGCCCGTGCGGGCCGCGACGGCCTTCGCCACGGCTTCCCTGACCACCTCCTCCTCCCACTTGGCGCCGGACGCTGACTGCAACAACCGCATCAAGATATCCAGTTAAATTTTCCAGTCTATGCAGAATTTAAAAAGAGTGTGACGCGCGCGATATGCGTTACTACTTTTCATCATCATTGAATAGTAAAAATCTAGCTTGCTGGTGCGCTACGTTGGTCATTTTTGTCAACCGAGAGATTCCATATGACAAATCTCAGGTAACCTGGTACACACACTTAATACCTACCTAAGGTTAGCCTAGCTTACAGTTCACGTGTGCACGCACGCTTAGGGTTTCGGCCGGAGTGTGTGTGACACGTCCACTGGCCAAATTGAAATATATGAAGCCAACACGTGATCCAGTTACTGGATTGTACTACTTGCTAGTACAATTTTACATCATGCTCAGCTCAGTTGGTTGATTATGTATACAATTTTATTTTATTTCGAATGGAGTTCCCATCAAAATATCTAAGCATACTGTAAAGAAAAGAATAAGAATAAGAAGAGTGTATTACTTTGAGCTGCATCGTCAGGAATGCTCCGGTGAGGCCGTTGCCGCCGTCGCCATCGCTGGTGCTCATGGCCACCAGGCTGACGTCGCCTTCCCCCATCTGGTCATTGAGGCACTGCAGCGTCCTGAGCACCACGTCCATCGTGTTGCCATGCGCAGGCCTCGCCGCTATCTTCACCGTGCAAACCTCACTCGTAGTCGTCCCATCTTCCCGATCCGCCGCCCCTCTGGTTATTTGGATTTCGACCTTCTCGGCGTCGTCTTCTTCGACCCGGCCGGCGGCGCGGGCACACTCGGCCAGCTGCGCCTGGAGCGCCTTGTTCTTCTCCTCGAGGTCGCAGACCTTGGACTTGAGGGAGTTCACGTACTCCCTGGCGGTGATCAGTATCGACGTCTTGTCCTTCTGTAAAGCGAGACAGATGATCATCATTAGCTAGTCAAAGAACGTGCTACTACCCTACCACTGCTCTCGGAGAAATTAATATGCATGCATTCAAATTATGTTTATGTGTACCTTGGAGCCGGGAGGAAGGACGGTCTTGAGAGCCTGGAAGCTGTCGTTGAGCTTCTCCCGGCGCTTGCGCTCGGAGATCATGTGCTGCAGCTGGTTCACCGACGAAAGCTCGGTCTCCGCCGACGCTTGCTGGAAGTGGTGCTGCTGGTGGCTGTACCTCATCGCCGTTTGCATCTTGACCAGGACGGACATGGATTTCTTGAACATCTTCTGCCCGCATGCCGGCTTCGGCCTCCGCCTCGCGCCGAGGTGCCGCGCGTAGCGGCTGAACGCGCTTGCCGGCACCACGCCAGGCTCCATTGCGGCCGTGTCGTGGAAGTTCAGGACGTACTGGTGGTAGTCATCGTCACATGGGAGCACCAGCGGCGGTACATGCGAGGAGACCTCCGGGAACTGCAGGCCGGCGGCGGGCATCGTGAGGGCGTGCGCCGAGGAGTTCTCCGGGCTGCAAGAGAGCGAGGCGGAACGGAACGAGGAGGAGGTGGAGGACGATGAGGGGAAGCTGCAGCCTCCGGCGTGGTGCGAGGGGAGGAAATCGAATTCGTCTAGGACGGACTGCTGCATGCCCACGGCGGCTCCGTCGCCGGCAGCGACGATGTAGGCAGCTGGCTCGTCCTCCATGTTCATCTGCATGCTGATCTGCACGTGCGATATTATCATCAGAAACAGTTAAAGGTGCACAATCGCACGTATGCATATCAATCAATCAATGGATGCTTGCCTGGTTGAGGTGGTGCTGAATCTGGGTGCGCTGCTCCTCCGTGCTGCTCTGCAGCCCTTCAGGGACGACGCAGCTGCATAAAAAGAGATCCATCAGACAGATATCCCAGTGGCTAGTAATTGTCTATGGCACCTAAGTAACTTGAACCGAAGCTAAACATGGATTATTCCAACAAATTTGCACCAGTGATGCTAATTAATCAAAGGATCGCCGTGAGATCCATCAACTTTTTTCGAAAAGGAGAATAATCCCGGGCCTCTGCATCAAACGATGCACACAGCCATCAAAGAGATCCGTCAACTGGCAGATCGATATCTGTGCGCGATGAACCGAAACCGATCGAGGTAGGGCGCATAATGCACACATACCTGGCGGCGTAACCGCACATGAAGCCGCTATTACCGGCAGCGGCGCCGTCGTTGGCGCCATAGCCATGGATCCAGCTGCTGCTATCCATGGCGGCCGGGCGACCAGGTGATGCTCGATCACTTCGATCTAGACACCGTAGGTTCGGTCGAGTCTCGCTCAGGTCATCAATGGAAATGGGCCCGTGCGTATATATGTGCACGTGTAGATATATAGCTTAGTGGCAAGCCGTCCACGAGGAAGCTAATGTGTGGGGGTTCCGATGGGGGATGCATGCGAACGTGCATATATAGCTGGGGGGCCGTCCGGAGCAATGGCGCGATCATGACAGGCGGCTTGGAGGGAAGAGGGGAGGGGGGCACGTGCGACGGCAACCGAAGCTAGCCATAGCCTTCTTTTCTTTTCTTTTCTTTTTTGAGAATCAGCTATGGGTGGTTGATGATGTCGACGAACTATAAATCTACACGATGGTGAGAGAGACCTGGCTGATGGAGGACTTTGGGAAGTCCACGGTCCATTCAGTTGGCCGGAAATATGGCACCTTTCGATCGACGAACAAGGCGTGGGACCGGCCTTTTGAACACCTTTTGGTTTGGACCGGTATATACACAGCACATGGGGCACCTTCTTAGTTACTTCAGCATGGCTGTGTATAGTCTTCAGAGAAAAGAGGGAAAGACATGGTTGTATGCATGTGACTAGCTTAAGGCATCTCTAACCGACCCCCTATATCTGTTAGAGGAGTGAAAATTCGGTTTTACTTCTTTAACCGGAAGCTAGCCGAACCCCTAAAACCAATAGTGGAGCAAAAAAAAATTCCTCCACCGCTTATTCCGCGCCTATATTTACTCCACCGTTCGGTGGCGGGAGTAAAAAATCTCGCCCTCCTTTGCCTCTCCTCCTCCCTAATTCCCGCCTCTGGCGCTGCATCCCGCTGCCCCTATATATGGCCAGATCCCATGGCCGCCGCCCATCCGCAGCGCGGATCCCCAGCACCACGAGGGTGGATTCTTGTCCACAATCGTCGCCGCCCCACCGATGCGGCCCCCTCCCGCCGGCTCTCCGACTTCCCCGTCCTCCCTCTGCCGCGACAGCCGCAGAGGAAGAGCCTGGGCGTCCGCCAGTAGCCGTGGGGGACGTGAGTGGAGGAGATAACCGACCACGACACCCACACCAATAAGTGGCTCGGCTCCTTCCACACGTTGGAGCTCACCGCCCTCGAGTACGGCCGGTGACAGGTCTGGTTGCACGGCGCGGCAGCGCACCTCAACTTGCCGTGTGGGACGGTGCCCGTCGAGCTCGACCCGCCACCGCAGGGGGTGTTGAGTGCGATGATGGCTAGGGAGGACCGGGAGGCAAGGGAGCGCATCGCAACGGAGGCCGCCGACGAGGAGTATATGGTGGACCTCCTCCTCCAGTACCTCGAGCTGGTGGAAGCGGAGCGGACGATCTTTTCGGAGCGCATGGTCAACCGGGAGGTCATCGTCCTCTCCGGCGACAAGGAGCACGGCGACGACAACAGTGGCAAGGACGAGGAGGAGTTCAATGTTGAAGAATGGTGGCGTGTCTTCACCGACTCCGGTGACGACAGCATAGGCCTGGACCCCATGGGCAGTGGAATCTCGCGGGTGGATTGGCTCGCCCTCTATAAGGGTGACGATGATATTTAGTTTTAGTTTAAATTCATGTTTAGTTTTAAGTTCAAGTTCATGTTTAGGTTTAAATCGAATGATTATGTACATTATGTGTTGAATTTCGGTTGTCTAAATCGAATCTATGTTGAACTTATGAAAATTGCTTTTTACTCCGTTAAATTTAGAAGTTCGGCTAGGTTTGATCAAAATTTAGTGAAGTAAAAATCATCTACTAAAGTTTACTCCGCCGATTTGCTGCCCTCTTTTGAGGAGATCGGTTAGAGTTGGCCTTAGTCACTTGTGGTGAACAAGAAAATCTTCTTTGTTACTTCCTTTTGTGTTGACTTCTTTAGTTACTTCCACACAATTGCATATGGCGTGGATATCAAATCTTGCCGTTCATCTTTTTCAGAGGCATTTCAGATAATTCATTCAGTAATTGATTCATGTTAGGAAAATCCTTAGCTACTACTCCCTCCGTTCGTAAATACTTGTCGTGGTTTTATTTTGGAACGGAGGGAGCACTACCAGCAGCTTGCGGCTGACAAAAGGAAAAACAGGCAACATTCACTAAAAGCATCCCCCAAACAAACTCTAATCTTCTTCCCGGATTTGGTGACTACAATCAAGCCTGCCCTCCCATGTATCGTGGTCCACTGACTGGGATGATACTCAATGTATGTTAGTGTGTCGGCTCGTGGTACATACTGAGTGGAGTTTTCTGAAGAAGGCGTTTTCCTTGGTATGCGGTACAAAATGACCAAGACCAACTCCAATCAATTCATCGATGATAAACAATTACCATGGTTAATTACCTACTGTTTGACCCGCTTGGGTCTACATGGGAGGAGGCATAGCCTGATTTGCATTGGCAAATGAGAATGCTCTCATTCACGATTTGCATTAGATAGTAGCGCTAATGAAAAATAATAATGCATTACAATATTAAGCTGACATGATATATCAAAGTCACTTATCCTCTTTTTTTCGGGGTAAAAGTCACTTAACCTCTTTGGAAACATTGAAGTAAATACATATATCGAAGTGTGGCGAGCCAGAAAGAATGCAGTACGAGGACTATTGGATACTAATGATGTTTGGCAAACTAATAAGAACGTGATGTTGGATATGGCCCGTAACCATTTTATGCAATTATTTACAGCTGATCCGAACATCAACCCAGAAGAGGTAGTGAATCTTTTCCAAGCTAAAATAACGGATGATATGAATACTGCTCTTTGTGCTCCATTCACAGATAAGGAAATAGGTGATGCATTGTTCCAGATTGGGCCACTAAAAGCCCCGGGTCCAGGCGGATTTCCAGCTCGATTTTTTCAGCGTAACTGGGCTTTAATGAAAGAGGATGTAATGGCGGCTGTCAGGTTGTTCTTTGAGACTGGACACATGCCGGATGAGGCAAACTCAACTACTATTGTGCTTATTCCTAAGGTTGCGAATCCAAAGAAGCTAAATGAGTTCAGACCAATTAGTCTATGTAACGTAGTTTACAAGGTCATCTCCAAGTGTCTGGTAAATCGTTTGAGGCCTCTCCTTGATGTTATTATTGATCCTGAGCAGAGCGCCTTCGTCCATGGTAGACTTATTACAGATAATGCTTTCATAGCTTTTGAGTGTATGCATACCATCAAACAGGAAAGGAATCAGGAGAATAGTTTTTGTGCTTACAAGCTGGACCTATCAAAGGCATATGACAGGGTAGACTGGAATTTCCTGGAGCGAATGATGCAACAGTTGGGTTTTCATCACCGGTGGATACAATGGATTATGGCGTGTGTAAGCTCGATGAGACATAGTGTTAAACTAAATGGAGTCCTCTCAGATTCGTTCGTACCATCGCGTGGACTTCGGCAGGGTGATCCTTTATCCCCGTTTTTGTTTTTGTTCGTAGCTGATGGACTTGATGCTATTTTGAAACAGAAGGTCAGACAAGGAAGGATTTCTCCTATTCATGTGTGTCCAAGGGCGCCAGGTATCTCACATCTCCTATTCGCAGATCACACTTTAATGTTCTTCCGTGCTACTCAGGAAGAAGCTACCCAGGTGGGAGATGCACTGGCTATTTTTGAGCGCACCATAGGACAATTCATTAACCCGGCGAAATGTTCTATTTTATTTGGCCCATGTTGTGGTGACAACGACAAGCAGGAGGTTGTGCATACCTTGCAGGTTCAGACGGTGTGTTTCGATGATAAGTATCTCGGTCTCCCCACACCATCTGGTAGAATGTTGAAGGGCAAGTTTGAAAATCTACAAGAGCAACTTACTAAGCGTATCTTACAGTGGGGAGAAGCGGCGTCACAAGGGGGCAAAGAAATTCCCATTAAGGCGGTTGCGCAGTCCCTACCTACATATATCATGGGGGTTTTCCGTTTGCCCCGGAGTGTTTATGATGATCTTACTCGCATGGTACGTAACTTTTGGTGGGGGGCCAACGAGGGGAAGAGGAAGACACATTGGTGTGCGTGGGATACATTCATTAAATCGAAAGTGCATGGCGGCATGGGGTTCCGTGATTTCAGACTCTTCAATCAGGCACTTCTGCCTAGACAGGCTTGGCGTCTTATTGCTTACCCTGACAGTTTATGTGCGCAAGTGCTCAAAGCAAGATATTACCAGGCGGGACGTCTGGAAGATACTGTCTTTTCGGGAAACTCATCCCAGACGTGGCAGTCTATTGTCCACGGTCTTGAGCTTCTCAAGAAAGGTCTAATTTGGCGCATTGGTCATGGTGCTTCTGTACGTATTTGGCATGACCAGTGGACACCACATCCGCTTGCGAGGTTGCCAATATCACCCCAGGGGCGTTGCCGCCTTTGGCGTGTTAGCGAGCTCCTGGACGATCGAGGAAATTGGAACGTGCAACTACTTAATCAACATTTCATGTCGGTAGATGTCATGGAAATTATGAAGATCAAGGTGGTGCCACGGTTGGACAGAGACATTATCGCTTGGGCGCCTGAGTGTTCTGGATCATTCACAGTCCGGAGTGCTTATCGACTATCCTATGATGAGATTCACCGGCAGACTACAGTCGCATCGAGTAGGGCACCGGACGGGCGACAGGCCGTCTGGGCACTTATATGGAGGTGCCCTGCTCCACCAAAGGTGCGTATCTTTGCATGGCGTTTGGTCACAAATTCGCTGGCTACTTGGGTGAATAAAAAATCACGGAAACTTGAGGTGTCTAACCTTTGTCCACTGTGTGCGATGGAACCGGAGGACACGTTCCACACATTTTGTAGATGCCCATTGGCTGTTGCTTTGTGGAATGCCATGCAGGAAAAATGGCTATTGCCGGACTTAGCTTCAGTGAGGAATACAGGGGCCTGAGTGGCTTTTTGATCTTCTGTACAAGCTAAATGAAGATGATCGCATGCACATGTTGATGGTGCTGTGGAGGAGTTGGTATGTATGTAATGAAATAGTACACTATAAG